AGCTGGACTAAAGCATCTGACAGGAGGCTCGCTTGTCCCCACATCATAAACCAGCCCCATACCAAACCATTCACTGACGTGAACAATGACCAATCACGCATCCGTTTGGGCGCTCTTTTTCAATAACTAACTCTTTCCTGTTATTGTTGGACTTTGTTCTGTGTATAGTTTTTATAGAATGAAGGTGCAACAATATCAAACTTCCTGGACTGTTGAACAAACTTCATAAGAGCAGAAAGATGCACTTCAGATATAATTGTGACACCCTCCATTTGTAGTTCTAATGAGCTCTTGGTGTCAGGGACCCTCGTTTGTGTGAGGGACCCTGGTCCTGTCCTGCCACAGAGGGTGGCGGCTGCTCACTGTATTAATAAAAGTAATTCAATTGCTCTTAATTTATAATCCATGCTAATACTCTTTGATAAATTCTTCAGTATGAAGTATAGCTCAAATCCAAACAAGGCTTGGTTTCATGTGTCCACAACAGCTAGATCTTATCGGGGATACTGCGGTATCCTTGATGGGACAATTCACCACTTCTGTTACATTGTATGCTCGAGGATGAGAAAAGCACACATCATACACATTTGCGTGAGAGTCTAGGTGAATGCATGTTTGTGTTGATTGAAGTGTGAATGTGCTGTTATAAGTGTATCGGTCGCCAGGAAGCCGCGTCATTCTCTGCCGAGGTGTGATTGAACGTAATAAAATGATAGCGGTGGATATAACAGTAATTGTGTCCTGTTTTTCTTCATTGCTGTAGATATTAAAGTAAATCTAAAGTTCAAATTGATGCTAATTAAATATTTCCTTTTTGAATGTCACCTGGGTTGTGTAACAAATGTCAACCAATCCAGAAGCAGATGGGGTGCTGCAGTGATGTATTTTTGTGGGTGTAGGGAACTTTTTCTTCCAAAGTAGAGAAGCAACAGACCAGGGCCCGTATCCCTAAAGAATTTTTGTGCAAAAAGTGGCTCCTAGCGGCCAAATTCGAAGAAAATTCTCAAGAGGCATGACGTTTTCTTAGAATTTCCCCTAAAAGTGACATGAAAATCCCAGTTAATATAAAAGCTATTCCTCAAGATACCTAGCGCTTAAAAGGGCTCCCAAGGTGAGATCTGCTAAGAGCAGGGAAGAGGACTTTTAGTGGCTTAGGAGTTCCCATAAGCAGCTGCACAAAATTTCCATTTTCTGTGTTTGTAGGATATTTGTTAACAAGCCTTCATAAATAGACCAGCCAGCAATCACAGACATTGATAAAAGCTGAGCCGTGTTACCCTCGTTAAGACAACACTGAGTTGTAACGTTGCAATTTCTACTTCATTAAGGACATTCCCTTGAGATAGGCCATCTTGTTTTCAATGGGGTCCATATGGGATTCAAAGAACAAAATATACCAGCTAGGATATTAATATGAGCAAATAAGACATGAATCATTATTTGAACAGGGTGTAATGAGCTTAAGTTTTCACATAGATTCTAATGTTAGGCTATAACCCCTACAGCTTACTATTCATTTTCCAGATATTTTCTTGAATGTGAAATATTATTTACAATTACAGTCTGCATAAGATTAGAGTGTTTAATTATGTTTTTTGATTTGAGGGTACATCCTTTGCTCATTATCACAAAAAGTTCATTTTCATCAAACTTGTAGGATCAACCAATCGCGGCTTTTGAAATGATGACTCATACCTAGCAACGGGGTCAACCACACCTCCTCACTAAGATGGGATTTTCCATCCATTCCTTGCTCAAGAGTTCACTGAAAATGTTCTGAAATCACTTCTAAGCTAAAACTCCTGGCAAGGAATTTTTAGGTTAAGTTAGGAGCTCTCTGAGAGGATTCTCAGAATCTTTAGGGATACGGGCCGTGGGGCGTTATGTATCAACACTGTGTACGCCAGTTTTCACGTTTCACGGCTAGATGTACTAACAGTGAAATTAACGTAAAAATGTGCGTTCCTCGAAGTAAACTTCATGTCTGGCGTACGTACAATTGCCTTGATTTTTGTCCGTTGACGACTCATAGAAGCAATAAAGTGAAGTGGCAAACATTACACTACGAATTGTTCTATCGTGCCACCAGCTGTCATATATTGCTTAATAATGTGTCAAATAATGTATCAATTACAAATTATGTCACAAGTCATTCTACTATGCAATTAAGAACATAAAGCATGTGCACACCCGTCTAGCAATGGCAGCGTTGGCTTTACTAAGAATAAAAAATAAACTTCATTAATTCGGTCAGTAAAGGTAAAAAAAGAAAGTAATGTTTTTATTCAGCAAGGACACATTGAATTTGTTTAAAAGTGCCAGTAAATGCATTTATAATTATAAATAAAAGATTATAAGGTTTCTATATGTGTTTGATTTAAGTTTTCATTCATTAAAGAATCCTGAAATGCTATATCACGATTTCCATGAAAATATGAAGCAGAAGCACATCTGTTTTCAACACTGATAATAATCATAAATGTTTCCTGATCATCAAATCATCATAGAATGATTTCTGAAGGATCATGTGATACTGAAGACGAGTAATGATGCTGAAAATTCAGCTTTGATCACAGGAATAAATTACACTTGCACATATATTCACATAGAAGACATTTTCTGTGAAATTTCGTTTCTTGCTGGCTTTAGCCATGTTCTTGCTGAGGGCTGTTTCACAAAAGCAGAATTTAGAAATCCATAGAATGGGCTTGACCTAGTGTGATCAGTGCATCCTGGCTTTATCAGTTTCACAAAGGCCAAACCAGGCTCAGGAGGAGTGGCTATGTCAAGCCAGGTGTAAGTAATTCAGATAAGTGGGTGTCAACAGCTTTCTTCAAGAGACCACACGGTCCATCACAGATTCATTGATGCTACAATGGACAAGTTGCGTGCGCCATACCTCACACCAAATAAGCAACATCTTTTAATGGAGATTTACAAGGAATTGAAGTACATCATACTCAGAAAAGGAAACACAGCCACTATTATAAAGGTGCGAGAAAGGGCATGGCAAACAATAGCGGATCGACTGAATGCGGCTTAATCCGCTATCTTGGTTTTGTGAAACAGCCCTCAGGTTTCTTTTGCCAAATTGGACTAATTACCATTTTTACATTAATTTAATTGAGGGAGGAGGCTGGGTGGGGCATTGCAGTCTTCTCAAGAATAGTCTGACTAGCTAAAATACAGAACTGTTTTTTATACATTAAGGGAGGAGTTACATAGAGGAGGGGACTCTGGAAACAAAGCAGATGTAAATGATTCAGCTGGTTACCTGAATCATTTGAGTTCATCAGGTAACAGTGGGTGCTTCTCAATATCCCTCCTCGTCTCCTCGCTCCTCCGTCCTCCCTCCTATGACCCGGAAACCGATCGAGCTCAGCCATCTTGAAGGACATCTCAATTCTCTAATTGCACCGTGAGGAGTCGAGGATCGAGGAGTGAGGAGGCTTCCTGAGGAGTCATAAGCGAGGATACACAGGTGCATCCTACGCGGAACTGTTATATTGACTAAACGTGACGCACGTGTCAATTCTCCTCCCCCTTCACATCGGTCACAATCATTTTAATTTATACTTTACCTTTGCAGTTTATATAAACCACACATCTCAAATATTTCAACAGTATAGCCTATCTTTATTATTATTTATTATGAATTTATTAAATAACCAAACTTCAACAACATAAGGGCAGATCCTTTTAGCGCTGCTGATGACACTGTGGAGTGACGCTCGAGTGATCAAGTATTCCAATGGATATAAAAAAGCTTTTATTCGATTCCTCTGTCCTCCTTTCCTTTCCTCGCTTCCTTCCCTCGCGTCCTACAGGGGGTGGAGCTGAGACGCAAGGAAAGGAAGCAAGGAAAGGAAACGAGGATGCACAAATAAGAAATGAGAAGCACCCTTCGTAACTCAGAACCTTGAGATGCTAATCCAATCAGCCTGATTAGATCAACAAAAGGCCCAACTGATGTGACAAAAGGTTAATGTCCGAAAACTTGATGGAAACTCAAAATGGAAAACATTGTGTGCACTTTCTCAGTTATAAACAGTGTTGTGCAAGTTACTTCCAAACTGTAATACATTAGGTATTACTTGTTACTGTTATTTAAAAGTAATTCATTACCTTACAATATTACTGTCTCAGAATTGTAATGCGTTACATTTCTCATGTATTACTTTTGAGTTACTTTTACCAAAATAACTAAGTAGTACTTAACTTTGGGGCTGTAACGATATGCAAAATGAAACCGAAATCGCGATTTGTCACACGACTCAGATCCACGAACCTGAAGAATCGCGACACACCTCTTCCAACTCCCAGCGTTATTCTCCTTACCGTCCAGATCCAATGCTGCCTTATCTTATTAGTATTATTTGAAGTTAACATTATAAAATACGTAGACCTACACCACAAAACTAGTTGAGTGCGCAAATCGGATGAGGAGAGGTTGGCATTTTAGTTTCCGTGTTCGCATTTATGAGGAAAAAACAATGTTACAGACGCGACCGCTCTGAACTGGCACAAAAAGACTGCTTTAAAACTTTCACATAGTCTGTTGCCTTTAAGAAGTAAAATACACTGTAATACAACTGTAATACAAGCCTGACTGAACATGTAACGAGTAAAATATTACTGAAAATTGATTAGTAATGCCTTACACTACTGTGTTACAGCAAAAAGTAATATGTTACTGTAATGTATTACTTTTGTAATGTGTTACTCCCAACACTGGTTATAAACACTGTTGTACTGGAACCTAAATTAAACATTTAAATAAAAATGTGTAATCCCTCATGGGCTAAACTAGAAGTTGGTGTAACCCTTGAACCCAATTGGAGTTTTACATGATTTGGAATATTGCAGGAAACAAACTCTGTGACCAACCAGTTCTGACAGAAACTCATTCAGAGAAACAAAGTCTATTCAGAGAAAAAAAGTCTTTTCAGAGAAACTGAAGTCTTCAAACCGGTCTGACCTCGAACAAAATCAACACGGCATTATGATTTAGATTCAGTATTTTATGACATGATTGTTATGTTATGCACATAAACTGTACAAAAACAAGTGCAAACTGACATTATAGACAATAAGAAATATTAATAGGTCATGACTAGATTTCTTATATAAGACATACTGTAGAAAATTGGGTCCCACTTTATATTAAGTGGCTTTAAGTACTATGTACTTACATTGAAATGAATAATTTGATACAATGGACCTATTGTGAACATACATGTTTTTACATAGTACTTATGTTTTACAAATACCATCATGTAATTACAGCTGTAATTAATTTATGTAATTACATTTGTAATTACCCAGTTGACCCTTGCCTTAAGCCTTAACCAACCCTTATACCTACCACCTTACCCATATCACATCACAATAGCAGCAAAAGTGTTTTACAATACAACTTGAACATAATAAGTACACTGTACTTATTTTTCTATGTCAGTACATAGTACTTAACGCCACTTAATATAAAGTGGGACCGACGATTGAATTACAGGTTAATTTTAGTAATGGTTTCAGGGTTTCGTCACGTGTCAGGCTCGGGACTGCAGAGACAGACGTGCTGTGATGTCAGAGAGATGGCTCATGTCAGCCAGCTGTGCCTGATGTTTGATATACTCTAGAGTCCGAACCTGGAGAGGACGAGAGACAGAGGTCAACACATTACATTTGCTGCTGTACATCAACGGCTTTGTGCGTGTGTGTGTGTGCATACGACTCACTGATGTGCGTGTCTCACAGAAGCCGTGTTTGTGACTGAGGTTCCACAGGTTGACAGCCAGCTGATTGAGTTTGTTGTTCCGTAGATCACCATGCGCCAACAGACAGCCGAACAGAGAGAAGGCCAGACTGCCCTGCCTGCGCACTCCCTTACACACACACACACACATCAGTACAGATATAACATATCAAACCTGCAGCCATGCAAACTCATACACATTAATAATATAATACACAGTGTTGGGGAAAGTTACTTTTAAAAGTAATGCATTACCACATTGTGTTATTCCATAATTTTTTTATAATTGTGTTACTTGGTAATGTCCATAAAAAGTAACTCTCCATTCTTTGCAGAAGAATAAGACGCAGGAGAAGACTGTTTGATGAAACAAATGTGATGTTTATCTTAAGTCATTTTTGGGAAGCATTTTATTTTACAGTCATGTTCCACATGTACATACAATGTACTTATAGTGATTACAATATTTGTGTAATAGCAAGGTACTAACCCTGAACCTACTCTTAAACCTAATGCAACCCCTTGTATTACCCAGTACTTTATTAGTTAGATTAAATATTATATTTGTGCAATTTAACATATTTAATTATTGCAGGTTTGTAAGATATTCTGAGTTTAAAATAAAGATCTACTTAACATTACTCATGTTTATAGCAATATCTCCTCTCAACCCCCAAAAATAAAAGCTCACTGGGATCTTCACATATCAGAAGTGAATCTTTGGTGGTTTGTTTGTTTGTTTAACAACATTAAGTTGAAAGATGAAAGGCTACCATCACAGACCTTGATTTATTGTACCATCATGATAATGTGTACTGTACACATACTTAAGCATTTCGCTGTTTCCACCCACCTATTTTTATGTGCATTTTGGGATATTGTATTTTTTTTTTTAATAAAAAACAAGCAGGATGGAAACGAGAAGATGTGCATTTGTTAACACTTTATTTCGATAGTCCACTTTAGACATTCTATTGTACTAACTATAAGTAACTTTTCAAATACATGTCTGTAGTGTCAGTAGACCGTTAGTTTAGGGTCCGGTGCGGGTTAAGAGAATAAATCGACTTGTAGTTTTCAAGTTACTAAGGCCATGTCCTAAGGCCAACGAAATGTTTTCGTTTGAAAACGTATATTTTTCTCTCCGTTTTGGCCTTCCCAAGGCCGAACACTGAGACGCCGTTTTTAAAGGGTTAGTTCACCCAAAAATGAAAATTAAGTCATTAATTACTCACCCCCATGCTGTACCAACCCCGTAAGACCTTCGTTCATCTTCGGAACACAAATAAAGATATTTTTGATTGAATCTGAGAGCTGGATCAGTCCTAGATAGACTGCCTAAGGGACTGGCTCTTGACGGCCCATAAAGTCATTAAAGAAAAGGTTTAAATATTCCATGTGCCTACAGCGGCTCAATTATAAGTTTATCAAGCGACGAGACTACTTTTTGTGTGAAAAAAACATAAATAACGACTTTATTCCACTATTCCATTACTTCCTTATGGGCGCATGCGCGAGAACTGAGACGAGGACGTTCTCATTCGTCTACTTCTTGTTACCGGCTGCTCACCGCTTAGGAGTTTTACCGCCACCTACCGTATAAGATGATGTGCTGATATAGCTGGAAGCGCAAAACTTTCTGTTTACAAGCAGAGGAAGATGCGCGCTGTGCACTTAAAAGCCTTTAATCTTCTCAAAAAACGACAGTGTTCCTTATAATTCGGAGCCCCTTATATATGGATCATCATTTTATACGGTAGGTGGAGGTAAAACTCCTAAGCGGTGAGCAGCCGGTAACAAAGTAGACGAATGAGAACGTCCTCGTCTCAGTTCTCGCGCATGCGCCCATAAGGAAGTAATGGAATAGTGGAATAAAGTCGTTATTTATGTTTTTTTCACACAAAAAGTAGTCTCGTCGCTTGATAAACTTATAATTGAGCCGCTGTAGGCACATGGAATATTTAAACCTTTTCTTTAATGACTTTATGGGCCGTCAAGAGCCAGTCCCTTAGGCAGTCTATCTAGGACTGATCCAGCTCTCAGATTCAATCAAAAATATCTTTATTTGTGTTCCGAAGATGAACGAAGGTCTTACGGGGTTGGAACAGCATGGGGGTGAGTAATTAATGACTTAATTTTCATTTTTGGGTGAACTAACCCTTTAAGTAAACGAAAACGCATCTTTTGGAAAACGCTCTCCAAAGTGGATAAATTTGAAAACGCCGTTTTCGCATTGTAGTGTGGACAGTGAAACCGGAGGTATTTCAAAACGATGATGTAAGTTTAGTCATGTGATCCATGTAGTACCAATAGATATTCATGTTTATCGGTATTGTGCCTGTTAGGCCTATGTGTTATTTATTTTTACACTGTTGCTAAAATATGTTACTTTCCATTTTACTTAAAGGGGTGATGAACTGAGAAATCAAATTTTCCTTGAGCTTTTGACATCTAAGAGGTCATCATATTATAAAACTATTCTGTAAGTTTCAGAACTGAAAACGTCCTTATGAGTCCAATAAAAGCTTTTATTGACACCAGCCCCAGCAAACGACTCGTTTTTAAAAGTGGGGAACTATGACAAAAAAGAGGATAAAACACCACCCCCGCAGAAGTAGATCAACTCCTACTTCAACACGGTCAGTTTAGCCCCGCCCACAGATTCTCGCATTACACGCAATCACGCATTACTAAATAACATAGGCCTACCTTGTGATGACAAAATGAATCGATCTACCGAGCAACACAGAATATTGTGCAGTGCCTGGTTGTGAAAGACGACAGTCGTTGCATAAGCTTCCTCTGGATTCCAATAGGATTGCATGGATAAACTAATAAACTAATATGTTGATCTAAAAAATAGCCTATTATTCATTTGGATGTTTTTGAACGCAAAAACCAAGCGAACGTCATAAGTTGACCTCGGACAACAACATAATAAAATTTAAAAAGCCAGTTCATGACCCCATTAATATGTGCTATTCTTCATAGCACAGTACTGCAAAGATCACAGATAATGTACTCACATTTGCTGTCCTGCAGCAAACCAGGAGAGCAGCTGCGTTTTAGACCAAACATATGGTGACTGAATGCGACCTGGACGCATCAGTGATGGTGAGATATTTTGCTAAATAAAATTATCCTGTCAATGTGTGATTTCCTGTATATCTAAATATGTTTAGATCTTCACAGTGAAAGGTAAAACTTCCAAAATCTCTGTCTAAACAATGAGTAGAGATCACTTCCGGCGGAACGTTGGATATGGTTCAGTTCGGTTCAGTTAGACATCTGATTAAGATCAATTGGACATGGCTGTTAACAAGAGGTAAAAACAATATAAATACTGTTCGTTTTCTCACACAAACTGCTCGTTTCGTGTCTTAGGCCATAAATGTGTACTTACATTTACATCATTAAATCATGTTTAATTTTGACTTCTCTGTGCATGCTCTTTAACGTGGACCCCCATACCTGCATTATATGGCTGACAGACAACAACGGGTTGACTGAAAAATGTCAAAATTGAAAATACTGTGGAAACAATGACACCTACATCTTGGATGCCCTTGAGGTAAGCTAAAACATATCAAAAATTAATTTCAAAGTGAACTATCCCTTTAATTAGAAAAGCCTTTAAGCACTGTCCCAATCACGCAAAATCATGCTTGTCCCATCCACAAAAATTGTGTTTGTGTGGACAGGACAAAATAAAAACAACCTAATTCTGAAAATAGAAACTCATCTGAAAATAAAAATTTTAGGACCTTATTATGAAAACTAGCAAAAGCTCACCTACAGGATGTCACACCAAAAAGGACATCTAATTTTGATTGTGGTTTCACAGCTAGGACTCAGCAAAAAAAATGTTTTTATTTTCACCCTATGTTTGTATGAATAATGAGGTCCAAACATCATTTTTTAAAAAAGAGGTGACTTCAATTGGACAGATAAATACCACAATAATAATAATAATAATAATACAGAAGTTTTCATCTGCGCGCAAGCAATGTATGATGAACGAAGTACGAACAAAGAGCCACAGTGGCTTCCCCAATTGTATTAACTTCCATTTTTATTACAAATATTTTGCGTGTTCTCTTGAACACATGGGAAGGAAATGGAGATTTATTCGCAAATGTTTCATGTGATATTCAAATTTTCAGAATAATTTAAATTCACAACTTTGGATGGAAACGGTTATTTTTATCTGTTTTCTTCAGTGTCCGTCTCTGTGCAAAGCATCATCCCGTTTCACAACAAACTGCATGTGAAGTCTGTGAAACCACAGACTATAGAACCTCAAGCTCCAGGTCACTGATAAATTAAACAACTCCACAAAACAAATGTTTGGCTACTATCAGCACTGATTTTTCCCAATTAGCGTTAGTTCCAAGAAGTAACTATCTATAACACTCACCTCATCTCGGCCCAGGGTCTTTAAATGATCCAGAACCTGACCAATCAGAGTCTCACATAACTTGTTGATCTCTGCGATGAACTTGGGATCTCCTCCATAGAGGGTTTCATTGGAGTCCACTGCAACAAGAGCATGAGTGATTCCGTTTAGATTTCAATGTTGTAAAGACTTTAAGATGATGTTTAATAGAGTAGCTTTCTGCATTGATTCAGGGGGGTACCTTTAGGAATGGTGTAGAGATAGTTTTCCTGGCTCATAGCTGCTAGCAATGGCAAAGCGCTGATGTAGACACGGACCTTGGCATCACTGTTGTCCTCCCAGGTGTAGTCCTGCACCATATTCAAGAGCCCTCGCACAAGATACAGCACACCCTGCTCCGGATGGTCCTATGAGACATAGCGAACAATGGCGCTCAGATATGGACTAAAGACATGGCTAGAACATTACTGCAAATGTTTATGCATATATTACCGGTACTACGAGCAGTGTGGAGAGAAAGTTGTTAATGAATTCAAGAAAGAAGGGCTCTGATGATCGCTGTTTTCCCTCAATGCTGATGGTACGTGGGACTTCCGGCAAAATACTGACCGCTGCCTTTAGAAACGCGTCCGCTGAGAAAAGGACACAGAAATTAATTTTTCTCATACTTTTTCTCAGTCCACTTTGGTCTACTTCGGTCATTATAAAGTGCTTTATAAAAGCACTTTGGTCTACTTCGGTCATTGTAAAGTGCTTTATAAATAAAGTTTGATTGATTGATACGTTTACACAACAACGATTTGCTTTAAATGGAGAAGTTTCTTTCTTTGAGTTTTCCGGCAGTCTTTAAAGCAGGATGGATTCTGATTGGCTGTCAGTACTTTTATCATTCATCATCTGAAAAAAAAAGAAATTGCTGTGAATGAGATTCCAATTGTATCTTTTCTCGGCGCCGTTACCGTTATAGTTGTGTTTTGGATTCTGCCATTCATTTACATTTAAATCAATTTTTAAAACTACATCTTTATCGTTATAGTTGTCGTCTTTAGTGTGAATTATTAAGAGAATGAATTATATTTTAAAATATGCTATAATAGTAGAGTTATTTAAAATTGTAACAGTATTACACAATATTCCAAAGATTTGAATAATGAGTATTTTAAATCCTCATTCTCTATTAGAGGCAGGAACAAGGATGTACAAAAGGTATATATTGAGTATGGGAGACTCCAGCACTCACCCTGGGACAGACACTGGTTGGCCAGTGCTACCTGTCCAGAGAGCAGGTATAGGTTGAGACGACTAAAGATACTCGTGAGAGATGGAATGGTGATGAAACTGTAGGCAGCACACGCCTAGAAAATAGACAACACACAAAAGGCAGAAAAAGCTCAGTCACTTATAGGATAAAACAGGATAAAGTCATTTAAAAGGCATTTAATATTCAGTAATATTATCGATTGATTGCATGGACACTACTTGAGAACAAAACTTGAACAATAATGACACCACTGTTTTCCGCAGAAATATAGCTGATTCTACTTCGTTTCAGAATTGATAAATTTAGCAACATCGACAGTTATTGAACTGAACTAAATGAACATTGAACTGAATTGATCTAAATAATTAATGACACTATTGTCTTCTGTAAAGCTGTTGATAGCTGAATTGAACTCATTTTAGAATTGATGACCTCTACAGTTATTGCACTGAATAAACAATATAGTCTTCTGTAGAGTGGCTTTACAGCAGATTTTGAATCTTATATTTGATGAAGTTTGGCTAATTAATTATTATTTTCTATTGTTAATTACTATAGAGCTGCTTTTAAACGATCTGTATTGTATGAAGCATTTTATAATAAAAGGTGACTTGACTTGGAAGCAACATTATTAGGTAGAATCTACCAAACCTCTCAAAAATATGTCTCCATTTCACTCCAAGGAGAGGAAAAAATATTTGAATATTTTACACAAGGAAATTAAAATTATTTCTTTACAGATTTACTCCAGTTGTCATTACTGTAATGCAGAGCAGACAAAAATATAATTATATAACTACTTACGCATCTTAGTGATTTATTTTTTTATTTGTTTATACTGTATATATATATATATATATATAAATTCTCTTGAGATTCACACAGTATTTTGTAAAATGATAAACCAACCCTGACAAAAGCAGCCGTTTTACGTGAGTGATTGCCTTTCATGACACGTCTGGTCTCCATGGCTAACTGATTCACCGTCTGTAAGAGAGACATTCATTTCATCATAACATACAGTACAGTTTCTCAGCAGCACTTCATTACACTAACAGATTAGACTTTACAGCATTTTCCAAATAGTTTTTAATTTATTTACTAGTATAAAACACACAGGACATTAAAAATATATGATATAAATAATGGATTAAAGTATTAATGTAATAATGGCATAATATAATAAGTATAAACAATGTTTTGAAAATCCCTGTATCATAACAAGCATCAAAAGGCATGCTAATAAGTTAGCATATGAGACTCTTTTATATTATTGATTACATTTTCGTTTAAAGTTCCTGTAAAATTATCATGGACAAAAAATAAAGGATTTTGAACTGAATTGGTCCCAAAGGATGTTAAATTCGAATTTAAATTGGAATGACAATAATTTAGTAATTTACTGAACTGCAATTCAAAGAAATACAACAGACAAAAGAGTAATTTCATAAGACCAGCTCTAGTATTCTAAATATTCTGAATAATAAATATTATCATTAATTAGAATAATTTATTTCCTGGTATGTAGAATCCAAACCACAATGATAATAATTAAAATATAATAAAAACATACATTTGAAAAAAAAAAAAGTCTATATTTTATTTGTTTACCTGGATGTCATGTGACCAACATCAGATAAGTGTGAGCATGCAGATGTGTTGTTAAATTATTCAAATATATGAATAAAATCTCAGGAGGTGCTTCAAGTAAATATCTGACATTAAAGGGTTTTGACTGACAGAAAAGGTTGGGAACCCCTGATTTAATACACAACACTTGCTTAAGACAAAGGGTGCTCACATGTATCAGGTGAATGATGACGGGCTCTAGATTACAGAAGGTCGCTCGGGCTTCCACACAGAAACTCAACTGCTGTTCAAAGTCCCTTCCGAAAGACACCTAATAAAAAAAAAAGGACCAAAATATGGCTACTAGTTTTTACCACTTTTAGGCTATTGGCTTTATGGCTACTAGTTATGCAATTTTGTGTCTACGACAAACGCGTACAAACATTATGGACCTGAATTTTGTATAAGTATTAATGTTGTGAATGCATTTTTCATGTATATATGCTTTATGACGTTATTTTCGATTTGATCAAGAATGTAAACTTGCTAACGCTGTTTGAGTATGACATTAGTAGCCAGTCAGTTGCTATTGTTGCCAGTCAGATGCTATTGTGTAAAACAAACGTGTATAAAGTTAAAAAATGTAGCAAATTATCATTCAGAAACGTTTAGTAAGAGCCGTGTGTGGTGAGGTTCTGTTTGACTCTCTTCATCGCGGCTTTCTCGGTCTGATTCTGCCTCAAACTGATACTGCAGTTCGACACATATTTACATCTGGAACGGAGCTCATGACATGCACGTTTCGCCCGTAAAGGTAATGGGTGTTAACCTTCCGGACAATGTGAGCGACAGTTTAGCCAATCACAACACAATCCAAACTAACCAAATTGAGCCCACTGCCTGTTTCTGCGGGAGTGGTTCATAGACTAAGGAAGTCAACTGCTTGTTCAGGGGACAGAGGAGAGTGTGGCTTACAATAAAGGTGAAGTTTATGAAAAATAAGACTTTTTAAAAAAGAAAAACCACGAATACATGTTATATTGCACCCCATAAACACAATCATGCAAAGAAAAAAAGCAGTCAACCCCCCCCCCCCCCTAACAATTTAATTATATATCAATATTTATTTTTTTTGCATTACAATGTATAGAATATTATATATAATCTATGTATATTTTTTATTTTTTTCTATTCTGAGATCAGAGATCAGAAATGGTACAGCACTTAATGCATGTTTATAACCCAGATCATCTCATTGTTCAAGATGATGTATGTGGTTACTAGAAAATAACAAATTTAAGCATTTCTGCTTGACATGACATACTGCCAGTTCATATTTTTGACAGTTGAGCTCTCAAAATGAAGAACTAGCTTCCAGTTAATTCAAAATGTATTTATTTATTTATTTTTTGAACTGTTGTAAAGTATTGTTGGACAGGGACTCACCATGCGAATAAATCCGTTGATCAGAAGAGCCAGAGATCTTTTCTCATCATCTAGAGTTAGAGCACTACAACACAAAGTGTAAACACGTCAATGTAACACTTTCTAATTCAATTGCATTAATAGTATTAATAGTGAGACGCATTAATATATATCTCACTCACTTGACAGAGTCATGCATGGTCTTACAGATGTGCAGCAGCGCATTGAGAATGACGGGGTCTCTTGTTACTTCCTGCTGGTGTCTAAACAAAAGAGATAAGCCTTGTAACTAGAGCTAGAATAAACACTAACCATCCTCTACCTAGTATTTGAACACTTATTTGGCTACACAGAGGAAGTGTGAGAGTTTTAATACTGAATAGTGAGTGAAAAACATACTTGATGAAGACCTCCATGATTGATTTACACACCTCCACCCTCACACTGTCTTTCTGGAACATATCCAGAAAGGGCAAAAACTTCTCCTGCAATCATTAAAACTATACATCAGCAAAAACAAATCGTTTTATGATCATATTAATTTATTATATATTACTCATATTTTATTTCAAAATTCCTGTAAAATAGTTTATTTTGAGCAAAATTTTATGAAATTTTACCTGAATTGGCACAATTGGATGTTAAATTTGGATATGAATTGGAATGACAGTGAGAAGAATTTTCTGAATTGCATTTCAAAGAAATGCGAAACACAACAAATTAATTAAATTACTCCAATTAGTATTATGACACAACATAAAAAATTACTTTTCAAGTCTCAACTAAAAGATGGTTAAAAATGAAAAATTGTACATTTTTTATTTTAAAAAAAGATTTTAATTTAGCCATACAGCACCAAAAAAAGTTTTAAAAGTTAATTGTTCAAATGTAATTTCAGGTATAGCTTATTCTTCCATTTCACAGACCATTTAATGGGTTAACTAGAGCATTCTGTTCTTCCACCATGATCCATAAAATTAAAAGTGAAAAAGTGATTGCTGTGGTTATACCATAGAGAAGAGCACAGAGAAGTCATGGAAGTAGGGAAGGATCTTGTTTATCACTGACTGCAGCTGAGAACACAAAAGAAATGTGATGAATCTTGCTGACATCTTCAACAACATATAACATCATGTTGTGGTGAGCAGGACGGCCGAGGGACGTGACAGAAAGTCGCGAGGCCGGTGTTGCGATTGCTAATGATCACAAAGGAGCGGAGGCATAAAGGGGGAGGGACGGAGTGGATGATCGAGAGACTTTTGGTAAGCCAGCAGTCGTCCGCGAGGAACTGCTGGCAGGTAATTTGTTTATTTCGTTTAAATAAAGTTTTATTTTTGATTGTCATCCTGTTCCTGCCTCCTTCTTCCCTGAACCTTGTTACATATGTGTATATGTTTTTTGCATACCTGTGGATATGCATCCTCGAAAGCTCTGTCTGGAGTCATGTGTTTGATGATGTCAGCAAGAACCGTGTTCACCTCCCGTTTCTATGAGGGAGAAATTTGAAAAGACATGTTAAAAAAGGAAGAGATTTAAAAATTCTGCTCAAATAATGATTTGCAACACCTGATGTTTCAGTCAAACAGAGCAGACAACTCACCGTGAAGTGGCGGCAGGTGAACTCCACCCAGATCTCAGCACAGTTGATGTAATCCTGAGTTATAGACATGATACAAGCAAAAATCAGTGAATGGATAAGTCAAGTCATCATTTTATTAAAATGTGTATTTCATTTTTTTTTTACAGATTCCTTCTATAGACGGTGTGCTTTAAAACATTCATTGATTAACAGTTGTTTACCCTTGGGCTGCGCACTTTAGTGATGACCTTCCAGGCTTCATTGAGTATGGAGAGTCTTTCGCTTTCTGAAGGGTCGGCACAGGATAGACTGCGACCCAGAGACGCAAACAGCAAGTGCTGAAGAACAGAGAGGATCATGAGAATAAACTATGACATAGACACTGATATTCACCAAATTGTTTTGGACCTGTGTGCAGTTTGGTATTCGTGTGTGTGTGTGTGTGTGTGTCACCTTGGGAAATCCAGCTTCATCACAGTCTTTGATCATGCCAATAAAGTCTGTTGCTCTCGTTGCAACAAATTCTGCCCGGAATGCCCACATGACAGAGTTCAGCAGGAGAGCACTATAGGAAAAATTAATGCTGCAATTTCAAACACTTCTGCCGTTGTAAAATCAAGATTTTTACATTGTCTAAACATGTTTGCCCATGTAAAATTCATAACCACAATGCTAGGCTGTTCTGGGTTGCTCCTAATTGGTCAAAAGAGCCCACCATCAAACATCTATGATATTCTGGTCTCTAGACCAGGTCTCGATGGGATACTTTTGTTGTTGTTGTTGTTGGTTTTTTTTTGTTTGTTTTTCATCTGTCTGCTAAGCAAAAAGGTTAGTCACTCTCCTCGACAAGACAGATTTGATGCATCATTTGTACACATACCACAACCAATTCCGTATATTAATGACATGCTTAAGGAAGCATCACTAATTAATCAAGAATGTCTGGCTCTATGGTATATACTGCAGTCGTAGAAGATGAAGACAACAAAATTCACACAATGTCCAATGCAACTAAACAAGAAATTATTCATAATGAGTCTCAAGCTTAATTTTTATCTTTCTTGGTCATAGATATGAAGTTGTAAAATGTTCCTGAGTGAAGAGATCTTACTTGTTGCCCAACTTCTTGCATCTGTCCATCATCTCTGTTAGCAGAACCTTTAAAAGACACATGGATCAAACACATGTGATCAAAATTACTTGGAAAGGGTCTCACAAATTTGTTAGATGTTTATTTGATCTAAAACCAACAACACACTTAAACCTACTTCAAAACTTTTTGAATAGAATGTTCACAGTTATAAATCAATGTTTGCATTGAGGGGCAATATACAGTACTCAAGCAACGGGAGTCATGCGACAAATGTTTAGAAATTTCAACTTTGTGCAAATGAGCAAAAAGGTTTCAAAAACGAGAGAATCGAGCAAAATACCAGAGTGAACATGCTTGACCAAGTTTTGCTGCCTCCTTAACCTGATCCTCCATGAGTGCAACCAAGGGGGACACAATCACAACTATCGCCTTGCCGGCCTTTGGCCTGCCCAGTTTCTCGCTGACGATCGATAATAGTTGATAAATTAAACTTTTCCCAAAGCCTGTCGGGAGTAGGGCCACAACATCAGGACATAAATATAATGTGGCAAATGAGATCAAATATCAGCCCAAATGAGCATCATTATGGATGTAACAGCATGTAGGCTACTGGGGTTTAAAAAAATACATTTTTGCATTCATTTTGGATGCTGTAAGTAAGCTTATAATAAAATATTAACAATTAACAATAAAATTTTATTAAGTCTGATTCATATGAAATATTAATTGTGTGATCAAGTGTTTTAACAGATAAATAAATGCAAATAGCTTGTCTGCTGGCTGGGCATTTCACTTTTAAATGCATGATACATGTTTAATGTAACATTACTAAGGATCATTAGATCCACGAACCTGCTGCGTATTTAAATCTTGACTGAAGAAGTGGGAAAAGCTGTTGGACAGTAATTTCATCTATATTAGCCAACACAAACTTGCGTATTTATCACAAGGTTAAATCCAGCTATTCATTAGTCAGCAACTTATTTATGGAAGAATTAATTGGACTTTAATATCTGTAACCCACAGAAGACCACACATTTGCAAATTACTTCCTGTGAATTTGTGGGTCACGTTACATTTGTAAGTTCCTTTTTACACATTTGTGAAATTTTGTCCAATGTGTACTGCAGAGATCTGTAAATAAACATATACACAAATATCTGACAACCTAAAACATGTATTTTTACATTTGTGTTGTGTAAAATCATATTCACAAAAATAATGTGTGATTTGTAAATACGCACAATTTAATCTGTACAAATATCTTTTTATTTCACATACAAAGTGTGATTTACGCTTTTGTGGATCCATTGTACACACATTTGTGAATTTTTGCCCACTCTGTTCTACTGCGATCTGCAAAAAGAGATTTGTAAGGCGTACATGTGAGAGCAGTTAATTATCCACACCAGCAGGTGGCGGTAGCGGCATTCTCTCCCATGAATTCAGAGGATATCGACTGCACAGTCTATGGCTATGCCACTGCACTCCCCAGCGTTATGCTCATCTAACTCGTTAACACACAAATGTCACATCTTTTTAATCGTAGTAACGTAGACAAGTAGCTACAACCTATTTTTTCGCGAAACGAGCTTTCCTTCGCAATTTTGTTCATACAGATTGGAATAATGCTAACTGTAAAGAGTCTATTTTTTATTTTTGTAAACTCAAAAAAACAAAAAGTTGTGCTCTTGTAAAATAATGAAAACAAACATATCTTCTTTCTGCCGTCTCGGTCTCGGTGAACTTGAGCACGTCATAAAAATTCACCAAAGCGCAGCGTATGTTACTTGTCCTCACAGACATGGGGAATATACTGTATCTATAAAAAGCTTGAAATGTCTACTTTTGAATGAATAAAATTCAAAATGGAAAAAATCTTTCCCTCAGATTTCTCATTGGCAATAGCAGCCTCTGTTTGAATATTTATATATTAACATAAAAATAGAGTAGAAACATAATTATATGAATAAAAAGATGAGGTGTTGAAGTGTTCATATACAAAAAGTTTTTGTGTTGACTAT